CCAGGTCTCTACAAGAAGCTCGTCAGATTTGCAATAAACGATATATATATAATATAATATAAAAATATATTAAAAATATATAAAAATATTTTTCTGTCTGTAAAACACTAATTGCCAGAACCAAATGTCAGGCAGACAAGGCACATATAAAGACTGAACTATGCACCCTGACCAAAGTACTGACAGCCAACGTCTTCCACAAAAGCAAAATCACGGGCCTGATGCACAAAAACACACTGAGACACAATTAAGACCTAGAAGATGAACAGACCTATGGAATAGCTGTCCTGCCCTACATAAGAGGTACAACAGACACAATCAGTAAGATACTACACAGGTATCTGTAGAGTTGTAATTGCAGGAATGTTCCAATATCCTGGCAGACTCGCAGCATATCTGCCAGAGTGTAATGAGCAGTAGAGACAGAGGCGTCCTTTTTACAATTTTCAACCATTTTCTGAAAAGAAGACTGAATAGAGTCAGGAGGCTTTTGCCCTGTATCTGCAGGAGCTGAGGGATTGAAGACATATATTCAGGTGAAGAAGGGGGACAAATGACAGCATTAGTATAATGTGAAGGTGGAGGTGTTAAAAGAAAAAGTTCATTGTGACCAAATTTTTCAATTGCACGCCTACATAAATGCCACACATGCAAAACTTCTATTTTTGCTCGAGGTACAGTATACAATGTTTTCCCTATATGTTCCCAATCAGTTAATTTTAAAGACCCCTTTTTCTGGGTACCATAGGCACTGAGCTGCAGTCTCCTGGACCAGCCTTAAGAGATTTCTCTGTGGTACCTCAGTATTATTTTTCTTCAACAAATAGCCTAATTCATCTACATGCTTCCTTTGTTCCTCAGAAAGCAAAGACCCCATACTTACAGAAACCAAAAGGTTGAAGAAACCACAAAGGGTTGAAGGTGCACCAAATCCTTGCCGGACGAAGTAAGAGGGTCCCTGTTCATGCGCCACTTGTTGTAATGACGAGGCAGGCGAGTTGTTTGATCATGAACAACTGAATCATGATGATCTTTATTGGAGTCTAGTCTTGCATTTATACACATTTTTAGTTATCCTCCATCATTGGTTAACTTTGGTTATTGCTTAACTTTCATTACTGTTTAGCACAGTAATCCATTCAATTAATTGTCTCTAGTTAAAGTCTAACATATGTTTACTTCTCTCTAATCCACCTTCAGATTAATGACTTTGTTTACCTGAGTTGTATTTACTTGGAAACATTCTTTATCTGAGGTTTGCCATCTGAGATTGGAACATTCCTGCAATTACAACTCTACAGGTATCACATCAAGACTGCCTTCAAAACAGACAGAAAAATAGCAGCCATCTTAAGAAACCCCAAAGATAAAATTGATCTGGAAAACCAAGGCATATATGAAGAAACATCGGACAGACCAATAGAAGAATAAGTACCCACCTTGATGAACACAAGAATGCAGTAAAAAAGCTGGAACACACTTCCTCACTAGTCCAACACATGAAAGCCACAGGTCATAGCATCAACTTCAATGGCACCAAAACCCTAGCCACAATAGAAAACCCCAGTTACAGAATTATCAGAAAAGCCATAGAGATTGAAAAATGACCTGAAAGCATGAATAGAAGAGATGACTCCACCAGACTGTCAATTATCTGGAAGCCTGCACTGACAAAAAAAAAAAAAAAAATCTGCACACCAGAAGCCAAACAAACACCTGAGCACAAACAGACCCCCCCCCAATACCTCCAGCCCAAACACACCCCAGCCAACCACCCAGATGAAATCTAGCTTCCTAATAAATGACAGCCGGCCATTCACATGAAGCCACGCTGCGCTGAAAGCCCCCTATACACAAAACACAATGTTGCCAGCTAATCAAGACAAAAAAACACTACAAAACAGACAGCAGATATTACAAACACCAATCAAGCAGAACACAGCCAACTCCAAGACCAATAAACATAGACCAAGACTCCCAACCAATCAGGATGAAGAAAAAACCATTCAAACAAAGCATGAGGATAGCACCAAATTTAAAACAGAAACTGCTGCGAAAGCCTGACACACATGACAAAGACGAACCCAACACACGAGCCTGATGATGGCAGAGGAGATTCTGCTGAAATGTCGCTTACAACTTTAAAAGCACAACTATAAAGATGTGGGAATGTGGAAAGGGAACTTCACCAGGACAGTGGTGACACCCAAGCAGAAAAAGCCCGAGGGGAACATCAGGCTAGCCATAAAAACAAACTTGCATAGGAAAAGAAATTTAATAAAAAGTATTGAAAGGAGCCCCCTAGACAAAAGCCAAGTAATTAAGAAAGCTAGGAAAAGAAAATAGGCCCAATCAGCAAAACAAACAAACAAAAGACACAGAATAAATTACATAGGAAACAGACAGGAGATTGCCAGGAAACAAATAGAAAAAAACCATTATAAAGGTAAGAGATTAAGAAAGAACCGATAGGGCAATCAAGCCACCCCGCAGAGTTATTTTCCACACCTCACTAAGTATGCCTTCTGGCGAAAATTAAACTCTGACAGGATTTTTAATATCTAAACATTAAACATTAAATACTAAACGAACATTCACACACAAAGGGAGGAAAAAGGTATAAAGAACCAGGAATTCACCATTCAAGGTTAGCTAGCTAGCCCCAGGAACGCAGACTTCTTGCTATCTCTTGCCTTCCTGAAAAATAAAAGGAACCCGCTTCCAAGCAGTTGTCTCTGTCTTTAAACTGGAGTTCTCCCAGCAGGAAAATCGAGCTCTCAGAAGAAAGGCATTTTCCAGCCTTTCAACAGGAAAATAACTGAACAAAGCTGAATACCATACATATAAATACCCGCAAAAACTTAAGAAAACATATATAATCAGTTCCAATTGGTGTTGATAGGAGGGAGAGATCCAGCCCACACCCCTATTTTGCCTCAGGGCTCTCCCCTCTTCTGTTTAACATATATACGAAGTCACTGGGTGTGGAGATCTGCCAGTTTGGGCAAAAATATCAATATGTGTTAGCTTTATATTTCTATTCCAGACACCATGAGCAATGCTGTGGGCATCTTATTCCAGTGTATGGAGGCTGTTTAGATCTAGATGGGGCAAAACAGGCTCTGACTCAACCCTAGCAAAAGTGAGTGGCTGTGGACCATGTCGCTATGGTATGCTCATAAAGATGATTTCAATATTCTCTTCCTTTCTTATAAAGAAATGAAAAAGGTAAGACTGTAAATGTGTAATGCAATATGAACAACCAACTTAAGGTACAAAATATATGGTAGCTAAAGAAGGAAACTTGAAATCATGAGAGCATTTAAGGGTTGGAAACAGAAAGGCGCCAACTGGAGTAAGTCTGATATTTGCAAACGTATACAAAATTAACTCAGATTGCCCCAAAGATCCAAATAAGGAAAAGCAAAAGAAAGAGATCAATATAGCAGCATCTTGACAAAACTCTTCCCTTAGCAAGTGAAAGTATGCCACCACATCTTTTTTTATATTATCTCCACAGCCAGGACTGGGAGCTCCCTCTGCTGGTTATGTTTAAAAAATAAAAGCAATTTGCTTCATCATAATAAGGTGTATTCACAGATGCTTTTTCCAAGATATAAACCTCAGATACCTCAGAAATGAAAACATATTATTATTTATGTTTTAACTTGAATACAATGAAACATATTAGAGAAGTATTATTGGCCAGTAAAACTCAACGAATAGCTCCTGGCCATTTACTTAAACTCTCTCCAGTTTTATTTGGTTGATTAGGATACATTACACAGAGCTTTTGTCTTGGAAAGAGGTCATTATCTGTTGATCCAAACTCTTTGTCCCTTCTGCTTCTAAACTGGCTTGGACCTACTATTCCTTAGACAACTGGTAAACTTAATTTTTCACAAATTAGCTGAGCTCTACAGTGTCCTCCTGGAAGGACTACATCCTGCATACACTAATATTGTGCAAAAGCCTCTTTACTTCCCCTTGATAATTAGCACCTATCACCCTCCTAACACTTGTATTCCTTTAAGGAATACAGTGCAATTCACCCATGATTGCCATAGGGAACTGTGATCCCTATGCTTAGAGGTATTGTCACCTGCCCTCCTGTTGGCACCACTTCTCCTTCTGGCATTACAAGATCTGTCTTTGCAAGATGTTGCTTGAAGGCATAGCTTGCCATATGGCTGAATTTTCCACACCTTTAGGTGCTCTATTGGTGTAGGAACAACTGGCCGAATCATATATTGCAAAGATGTTTGTCCCGTACAAATGGACTGATTATTCAATTCAAATTTTGCTTGTTCAAGAGCTATCCCTCACCACTTCATTGTATTATGATTCAGATGGTCAAGGCAAGACAAGCCTCTAGAGAATCTTTATTTATACCTACTTCTGTATAAATAACTGTATACCTACAGTTCTACTTCTGACTCAAGGCAATGAAGAAAGGCCCTGAACTGCATAAGAAAACCCATACTGGGAAATTGTAATATATGGTAAGTATGTGTAGGACCTAGCTGGACATCAAACACTGGAACTCTAGTCTGTTTTCCCTCATTTCTAGAATAAAAAAAATACAGACGACAGTAAGAATTTCAAAGAAAAGTACTTTTAATGGTGCTCTGCAGTTTCTATTTTACTAATAGCAAAGAATTTGAGGTTGCTTTGTTCTATCATCTCCTTAAAGTTGAGAATGAAACTTTACAAGGTTATTCAAAGACCGTTCTTGGAAGGTCATCTCTGATTCAAGCCATTTGGAAGTGTAGATCACACATTATTTTCCTCCACTGAACTGGAAATAGGCTGAGGATCCTCCTGAATATCCCAGCAGAATTTGAAGGGAAGCTTTTCCATCCTCTCCTTAAAGACACGGTCAAACCTTTCATTCTGGGCAACAGTCATGAGGTTCTTCCAGTCCCCAATAGTACCTGGGAAACAATGGTTAAAAATATGTCAGCAGTTTTTGTATTCAATTAAACTAGAGGCTATGTCATCCTTTAAACCTACAGCCTTAAAGGAGGCAGTTCTAAGAGTGGAGAAGGACAGTGTCCAGGGTAGAATGTGAAGAGTTTATACCTCCCTCACCCTAAAGAGACCAGTGTGAGCTAGAAAAATCCCATTCCCAAAGGATCATTAGACTATTCAGGCAACAGACTGATAATTCAGACAGTCAGATTATATCCATGCCAAAAATCTGCCATAGTGACAAAAATACTACTTAAACATCAGTGGTGGGATTCAAATGTTTTTACTACTGGTTCTGTAGGTGGGGGCAGAGCCAGTCAGAGGTGGGATTTGCTGGTTCTCTGAACTACTCAAAATTTCCGCTACCGGTTCTTCAGAACTGGTCAGAACCTGCTGAATACCACCTCTGTTTAACATTGGTATATTGGTATATCTATGGCTGCCTCAGCTGTAGGCTGGTGATGAGACTAGCACAATATCATTGACAGCAGCAGATAGAGTGGTTGTTAGGACACATTTATATCACTTAAGGAGGTGTCTTTCAAATGAAGGCAGTAATCCTGGTTTAAGATGAAGGCTGATATATAAAAACCAGAGTGTGAATTACTATTGATTTACCTTTGCGAAGAAAGCCTCCTTTTCTGCAATCTACAATGTCAGGAGGCATGAATGTGTAGTTTGCTCTAGAATCCACTTTCATGTTATCAAATGTAGCTTTATCCACCACATCATCCACCTCCTTTCCAGTTAGTTTTTTCCCTAGGAAGTTGCATATTTTCAGTACAGAACTTCTCAGATCCTGCAATTTGATGCAGCTTTATATTAGGTCATCCATAACAATGGAGAAAAGATGGAAACATATCTTACACATCACTACTGTTACTCACTCCCACAGTCTTTAATTCTTTCTTATTGAGAAAAAAATATCCTGATAAAGTCATTTGTGTTCATTATTTTAAATGAAAACATAGGAAGAAATATCAATGGATTAAATACAGAAGTGCTTCCTTAGGACTTATTATGAGACACGATGGCTAATATTTTGCTGAATTATAGGTGCAGATTCCCATATTGGATTCCTTTACCAGTCAGTAACTCTATCAAAGAGATCAACTTTGTTTTTGCAACATTGGTTTCCAATAGATACATGCTAGCTCTTTCAACTCTAGCATACTTGGACATGTGCATATGTTCATTAATCTGATGTCAATGTGACAGCAGACTAATTTCCTGGATTTGCCTTACTTTAAAAGAGGTGACATTTACTTTTTTTTTTCAGAAATTTCACCAGTCCTTCAGGAGTTCACAGAGATAACTAAGAGTGGATGACTAATTACCTGTCTGCTCCTTTCCTGAATAGATTATTCTACACATTCCTCCCTTTCTAAAGCCTCCTGTGTTTCAAGGTTGTTCATATTGCATTACGCATTTACACATCTTACCTTTTTCATTTCTTCATAAGACAGGAAGAGAATATTGAAATCACCCCTATGAGTGTACCAGCCTTCTACATGGTCTAGCCACAAATTATTAGGCACTGATAGAGAGAAATGAACTTGGCATAAATATGAGTGCAATTTCAAAGTCACTTGGTTCAATTGTTTAGCTTGGCACTGCAATGTTCCAGCTAACAGTCCTTCTCAGGGATACATTCTTAATGCTTGAATTTCTTCCATTTATCCTTATGCGCTGATGGGCCTACAGATCAAAGCTCAACTGACGGGCCACCCTAATAACACTGAATGTGAAGAGGAGAGAGAAGGAATGGGAGGCATAACTGTTAGGGGACAGGGCGAGTTGTTTGCTCTTTGTAGGAAGTGGATTGAAATGTATTCATAATCTCTTATCTAAGACAAAAACTGGGAAAACATGTCATGATCAAGTTCTTCTTACCTTTGCCAGACAAAAACCACTCCAAGAATGTATCAAAATCTTTTGGTGTTTCCCTTACAGGTGTAACTTTGGTAAAATGATAGGTAGAAACTAAGACATCCTTTGGATTTCTAAACACATAAATAATCTGTAGGAGAAAAATGATCATATCTAGTCAAAAAGTGGTCATCAGAGACTCCAAGTGGAGTGAATTCTGCTTCAGACAGCAGGAACAAAGTAGGGTGGATGAAAGTCTTCCTTGAAGCTTGGTAGACCTTAGGGGGGCCTCTGGAGGCCAGAACTCCATTTCTACCCTATTTCACAATATGTTAACTATCCATGAATGAAATCTCTATCTAACCATGTTTTCCCAAAATAAGACCAGGTCTTATTTTCTTTTGGGGCCCAAAATAAGCATTAGGGCTTTTTTTGTTTTGTTTTTTTTGGGGGGGAGGTGTCTTATTTTTCCCCCCATGTATGGGAGGCCCATTTTTTCTGCTTTCTCACAGCGAGGCAGGAGGCCACATGGCATAGCAATGCCACTGCCATGAGGCAGGAGTGGAGCTGACCCATGCACCCTGCACTGGTTTACCTCAGGCCATGCCACCCACATCCCAACACCTGCCTCGCCTTGGTAGCCAGGACCCCCGCAGCCAGGCCACCCAACCCAAACACCTGCCTCACAAGCTGGTAGCCAAATGGTAACCGTTCATAAAGCAAGTGCAGTATGTGCTATTCTTGGATCACACACAACTGCCCATGCTGTTGCATTTTGTACCAGTTAAAGCTTCTGAATGCCTTTAAGGGCATCCCCATGTAAAGATGTTATGGTAGTCGATTTGGGAGATGATAAGGGTATGAGTGACAGAGGGTGGAATGTTCAGATTTGAAAACAAAAGGTAACATTCCTAAACAAAAGGTAGCCTTCCAGATTTGTTAAGATTATACCTAGCCATGCAGCATAAAAGTTACAATCCACCTGGAAAAGGTAAGGTTAAAGATCTCTATATATAGAACTTTAATTTGTTTCTTAGCCTATTTCTGGCAGGCAGGGCATTCTGGGATCCCTGTTTTGTCTGAGGTCTTATCTCTTGTGCTTCAAATCTTGTCAGCACACACCAAACAGAATGGAACAATGTACTTATCTGTGTCTTTGCCCTTGCCTATTTGTCAATAAAACATTCAGATTTAGATATAAAAGAAGACAGACAGCTCCACAGTCCATCCCAGAATACTTAGGTCATACCTTTCCTCTTTTATTTTGTAATCCTTTGGGTACTAAATAATAGGGCAGATGGGAAGTAAAGAGACGAGGTGATGGGCGAGTGGAAAAATCTATGTGGAAAATATTACACTCCAGCCATGGAGCTCTATCAATCAGAGTAGTATTTTCAGTTCCATCTCGATGACCTTCATGAAGAATCAAGCTCACGATATTTTGAGTCCATATTGTACCTGCAAATAAACAGCTAAATTAATTCATGCAGAGTCATTGTTATTTGGACAATGCTGAAATTATGCAAAACATACGTTCTTATCAGAAAGATAGTAAACATTTCAGAGATACATAAAAATAGTGAATGTTTTTCGATATTCTAGCTTCTTCTAGAACAAGGGTCACCAACCTTTTGGATCTTGGAAACCACCAAACTCATAATTTTAAATCCTGCGGACCACTAATATGAATTTTGACTGATGGTGGCTTGCTGACGTTGGTGGGAAAGTCATTCCCATATTCCAGAGCTGCAGTAGTCACAGGACTGGCCCTTTGTTCATCCCAGAGCAGCTGCTCCTCCACCCGGGTGCACCAGCCTGCCATGGATAGGAGGAGCTGCTCCAGGATGACCAAAGGGCCAGTCCTGTGACTACTGTAGCTCTGGAATATGGGACGGACTTTCCCAACATCAGCAAGCTCCCCCAGGGTGCATTTCCCTCCCAGCCGTTGGTCTTACCTTCCATTTTTACCTCACATGGCTCTACTCAAGGTAAGGTCTGTGGTCAGCTGAAGGGTGGGGTCTAGCGGGATGGGCAGGCCACGTGGGTAATGCAGCCTTATGTTCCAGTGGAGCCTGGATTAATTGCTTTGGGGGGACATTTCTCTGTGGACCACCTAAATTTTCTCACGGACCACCAGTGGTACCCGGCCCACCGGTTGGTGACCACTGTTCTAGAATATTTCATAGATGTATGAGAGAAAGTTAGCTCTGCAAAGTAAAATAAATTAAAATTGGTCAAAATAAAGATTTAGCAGCTTTATTTTCTACATTTCCTACAACTTCTAAAAAAATGCCAAATGTTAAAATTTGGTTACAGCATAGCAAAGTTGCAGCGACCAAAATATTATAACCGGATATAAGATTAACTCTTTCTCGGAAGCTATCTTTAAACTTACCAGATTTGGGATATGTGATTATAAATATATCATCATCTTGGATTTCAAAACTTTCCAGTGAATCTATACTTTCAGGTGACACCCCTTCTACAAAATAGCATCCTTTGTGTTTATACAGGAATTTATTTACTGGTTCCATTATTTGACCTGTTGATATAATAATAGAGTAATTGACAATTGTTCCCATATTTATGGTCAACAATGTATTAACTCTTTTTTAAAAAAATCATGCTTCCTGGAAACATAAAGAAAAACAAAATATATTATTAGATCAGTTTCTGTAGAAGAGGCAGAGCCTCGGGGCAGAGTCAAGAGAGGAATAAGCCTGGGGTCTTTACGTTTCCACAAGCAGTCTATGAAGAATTATGGACTTACCAAATATGAGATGCAAACCTTATTGTTCATACCTGGATTACAGTTTTAGATTAATCATATATGTTTCCATTTTATGTATAAATGGGCACTCTATATGAATAATTTAAAAATTGAGCAGTATTATTCTGTGTGGTCAAATTTTACCATTGCATTTAAAAATTGGGTTGAGTGACTTCAATATTTAACATAAGCTGCTATATCCATCTCAAAATAAGCATTTAATTAGCTGACATGCTAATGATTAACTTTCTACCTCTGGATTTTGCCTGGACATTCTTGACAGCAGCTTAAGCTAAATGCCACCTTTCCTTGTTTTAATAAGAGGCCCACTTAAAAATTCTTCAACCACATCAGTGACATTTCTTACATAAGAAGCATTTGTGGTCAGTCTCCTTAGCTCTTTGCTAATAGATAGCAAAGCCAGTGCTAAATGGCTAATTGCAGCAAAGGCACAAATAAAGTAATTAACATGGAGTAGCTCCAACTGAAGCAAATTCATGGCTCACTTGAAAACCTCTACAAATTTGATAAAATTGATAAAATTTGATAGATGAGTCTATCATCTGCACCTCTATATAACTGTCTGGTTTGGTTCTGCAACCCAACAGGACAGATACAGACTTCAGAGGATTATTAGGACTGCAGAAAAAACCATTACCACCAACCTGCCTTCAATCAAGGACCTGTATACTGCACAGGTCAAAAAGAGGGCTATGAAAATATTTACAGACCTCTCACATCCCAGACATAAACTGTTCCAACTCCCTCCCTCAAAACGACGCCTTCCTGAAAAATAAAAAAGATCCAGCTTTCAAGCAGTTGTCTGTATCCTTGCGCCGGAGTTCTCCCAGGGGGAAAATTCGAATCCTCAGAAGAAAGGCATTTTGACAGCCTTTCAACACATCCGTGGCTGTCAAGCCAGCATCCACACCATAATGCAATACGTGAGGACGCTATAAAACAAATAGTAAGTAAAAAAACAAAGCAAAAAACCTTTCTCCTTGCTCTGTAAGACCAGTGATAATCCATTTGAGAAATTGTATACGTACACACTTCCTGCTCACACTAACCCACAGATCAGTATAAGAAAGTTGTAAAGATATGGCACAAATGGCCAATAATAAGAGTGTATGCAGGTAGTCCTCAATATGCAACCACAATTGATCTTGGAATTATGGTCATAAGTAGTTGTGGTTATAAATTGGGTCACCGTGTGATTTAACTCTACTGCATCTGCCTTTCTCAGATATGGTCATTAAATGAACATGAGGGTTAAGTTGAGCACAAAATGCCCCCAGGAAATCCTGGGAGCTAGAGGCCCATCACCAGCAGGGTCCAAACAGAATAAGCAGCAACAAGCTTTACAAAGCCAAAAACAGCCCAGCAGGAAGGAAGTGCTTAGCTGAATTAGGGCCTAAGCATTCCCTTCTGATCCTGATCCCAAACAAGCCTACATACTTCTACATCTAGGGTCCTCAAACTTGGCAAGTTTAAAACTTGTGGACTTCAACTCCCAGAATTCCTGAGCTAACATGACTGGATGAGGAATTCTGGGAGTTGAAGTCCACAAGTCTTAAAGCTGTCAAGTTTGAAGACCTCTGTTCTACATAGAGAAGCCCTGATGTTTTGAACTTTTGCTTGTGGGTTAGCTGGCAGTAAGGAGACTGCAGGCCTCCCCTAGCTCTTCCTATGTTACGGAGAACTGAACTGCCTGCATGCAAAGGTGGCAGCTGCCAGACAAGCTTTCCAAAACTTTTCCCTTGTTTTAACCTCACCCTCCTGCACAAAGCACTTTTTATCAGTGAAGAAAGCAATAAAAAAAAAGGCTGGGACAAACTTGTTGATCTTTCTCTTCCCCCCAGTGGCGCTTTGGTAGAATTAAGCTAAACTCTGCCTCTGCTCTCCAATCTCCGTCTCCTTGTTTAACTTAATTTGCTAAATTTACCACGGGCACCTAGAAAGAGGGGGACAAAATCTATAAGTGACTTACCTTGATGAGTGACTGGCAGGCTGAAGAGTAGAAGAAAAAAAAATCTTCTAGGGATTTAAATGGAAGGGAGGTGGGAGAGCTGAACACATACACACCCCTTTAGAAAATTTTTTACTGCTTGTCTGACTTCTTTTATGACCCAGTTTTTACTACGGCTATTTGCTACATGTGTTTTGGCAGTTTCTCCATTCAGCTCTCCACACAAACAACAGCTGGATTTTTTTTTTTTTTGCTTCTTTCATTCCCCCACCCCACCCCCCTTAATTTTTTTTTACTCCACCCTTTCCCAGCACAACCAGGAACTGCTTATGCACTGTGGGCCGCCTTATGGATAAATGCAAATCTGTTTGTGATAGGCATGCCCAGGGCACATCCAGACATATCAAAATTCATATATCGGTCTATTTAAAGTGATTCTGCACACATGCTGAGTGCTAGGCTAGTCATTTACAGGCCGCTGTGAAATCCAGCACTTCAAACTTCTGTGTGTGTTTGAAAATAATACAGCAGCCGAAGTGTTTAATAATGATTCCACATCAACATGTGGGGCAACTCAAGGTCTCTGCTAACAGAACGCAACAAAACCTGTTGTTGGGGTTTTGATAAAAATGATTTCTTCAGATTGATTTTGTGTGGATGTTTTATACTAGCGGCTGCCAACTTTTGGGGGAAAGGATTTTCCGTGGACTGGAAAGGATGTGTTTTATTGTGTGCCTGCATCCTGCAGATGGGGCTTTGTTGGTTTGTGTGGCCCAGCTGCTAGCATGCTTTGACTGGGGGAAGGGGACCCCTGTTATAAACCACGTTGTAATTTTAGTGATGAAGAACAGTGGACAACACAGGACATATCCTGTAATTCTCACTAGACAGATTGTGAAATGGCGAACAGAGTGAGTAAAGAAACCAGTTTTAATTGTTATGTAAATACCAATAGAACATTAACAGGATATGTTTTATATTTCACAATCTCTGAATTAACACTCTCTAGATAGTGATTATCTCAAAGCACCCTGCTTTTATATTCCTATGGTAATTGGAGTCACAAATCTTCTGAAGATTTTTCTGGTGTAGAATATTACCACCACATTATTCTATCAGAAATAACAGAATAATATAGTTGGAAGGGACCTTGGAGGTCTTCTAGTCCAACCCACTGCAAAAAGCAGGAGCACCTATACCCATGATGGTGAACCTATGGCACATGTGCCGGAAGTGACACGCACTTCTGGCGGCACATGAGAGGTCCCCCAGAAGAGTGCATGCACACACTGCCAGCCGATTGTTGGATATCTGTTGTGCATGCACAGGGGGAGATGCATGTGCAGGAGACGTGGGTGCATGCATGGGGACGGGGTGCATGGGGGGTTGCATGCGCATGCACATAGGCATCTGGTGTGGACACGGGGTCACACACGCATGCACTGGGGGGGTTGTGTGCACACTGCATCATGGGTGCTGGCACACAGTGTGGAAAAGGTTAGCCATCACTGACCTATACCATTTCAGACAAGGGATCGTCCAATTCAGAGGTGGTATTCAGCAGGTTCTGACCAGATCTGGAGAACCATAGAGGACATTTTGAGTATTTCAGAGAGCTGGCAAATACCACCTCTGACTGGCCCCGCCCCCTTTCTACTATCTGCCTCCCAAGTTCCAGCTGATTGGCTAGGTCTTCTTTTGTTGTCCTGGACAGGAGAACAGAGCTGGAAAGCAGGTTAGTGTGTGTGAGGGGGAGGAAATGGGATTTTGCAGTAACATTCCTCCTGGAGTGAGGTGAGAATGGAGATTTTACAGTATCCTTCTCCTGCCACGCCCACCCAGGCACGGCACGCCCACCAAGCCATGCCCACGGAACTGGTAGTAAAAAAAATTGAATCCCACCACTGGTCTAATGTCTTCTTAAAAACTTCCAGTGATGGAGCACCCACAACTTCTGTGGGTCAGTCCCACTGATTAATTCTGTTTAATTAGCTCTCACTGCTCTAGAAAGTTAGCACCCACCCTTCTCCTAGAAGAATAAAATATTCTAGGAAATATTAAAAAGGCAGAATATCATACCTCCCTGGATGAGAAAAGCAGATACATGCTCTTGGAAAGCAGCCTCCGCTTTTATTAATAGCCCCAGAAAGACTGGGCCATTCTATCTACAAGAGAAAAGGCTGAGCCAGCTTATTTACAACACAAAAGACCGTCACCCTTGGGACATAATAGGATTAGCCCTCTACCCATCTCACCACATGGGCCCTGGGAAAATTACATCACCCAGCAAGGTTCAACCAAGCCTGGGACTCAAGACAACCTACAAAGTTACCCCTGCATGGCCCCATGGGTGACAACCAATCAGAATACATTTCTTTCACAGGCACAGGAAGCGAGTTCAAAGCCCAAGAGAAGCCATGACAGCAACCTTCCCTAACCCAGCTGTACTTGTGAAGGGCCAGGTGAGTCAGCAGCAGGAGGAAGAAGCCAGTGAAGATCAACTGGAGGTGGCAGAGGTGACAAAAGGGCAGAGATGGGATGATAAGATGGATGGAAAAGAATTGAAATGCATTTTGTGATTGTAAATGCGAATGATCTTGGGTCCATAGGGGAACTGCAATGGCTGTAACTTTAAGCACTAGGCATTACACCATCTGTTTAGCATCGCGATAACTGAACTTTCGCTGAACAAATGGTTGTTAAGCGAGGACTACCTGTAATTAGAATCCTGCTTTCTTTGCTAAACATTTCAAAGTAAAATCTGACTATTGCCGACTACTGCTTTAGTTGTAGGTTGCCCATTGCTCTGCTAAATTAGTAAGACACAGAAGGGAGTGTCCATGATGAAATGCTTTCACAGCAATATATGCTAGACACTCTGGCAGGCTATTATTATGGACATGATGATGCATGCATAAATTTAAAAAAAAACCCATAGTGCTAGAGCAAAGTAGAAAGAGAGCTTGATCTAATAGTATGAAAATATAAAAAGGTAGGGATAGAACTATTATTCAGTGACATTTTAATTCAGTTTCTGTATTCTGTAAAATGTCTGAGAGAGAGAGAGAAAGAGAGATGGAGGGAAGAGAAAAAGACAGAAAGAAAGAAAGAAAGAAAGAAAGAAAGAAAGAAAGAAAGAAAGAAAGAAAGAAAAAGAGCTAGCGAGAAAGATTCTTCCGAAGCTTGCGCTACACTATTTGTAAGAGCAGTTTGCTTTAATCCCCTCCTCTACTACAAGCTCTTGCGTCAAACCGGCAGGACGCTTCCAACCGGTTCTGGCGCTTGGCCTGTATGTAACCAGCAGCAGGCCCCGCCTTTTCGACTTGCGGCGGATGGCACGGAGTTGAGCAAAGCGCCCTGCTGTCACCGCGGCTCTCCTGTTTTCATCAGCCGCTTAGCAAACTGCAACTTTTCTGTTCCGCCGCCGCTGCTGCTGCTGCTGCCATGGCCTCAGGAACCAGGCCCCTGATAGGGCACGTCTGCGTGGTGACTGGCGCTTCGAGGGGCATCGGGAAAGGCGTCGCGCTGCAGCTGTCGGAGGCGGGCGCCACAGTTTATATCACGGGCAGGAACCGGGAAACTCTGGAGCAAGCGGCGGCGGAGGTGCAAAGCAGGGGCAGCAAGTGCGTGCCGGTGGTGTGCGACTCTACCCGAGAGGAAGACGTGGCGGCGCTGTTCGAGCGCGTCCGAAAGGAGCAAGCTGGCCGCCTGGATGTTTTGGTCAACAGCGCTTTCTCCGCGGTGACCACCCTCTCCAAAGAGATCGGTGTGCCGTTCTGGGAAAGCGAGACGTCCCTCTGGGATCAGGTCAACAACGCAGGCCTGAGAGGCAACTATTTCTGCACGGTTCATGCTGCCCGGCTCATGGTGCCCGCCGGACGCGGTCTCATTGTCATCATTTCCTCGCCCGGTGGGCTGCGGTACATGTTCGACGTGCCGTACGGGGTGGGGAAAGCTGCCTGCGACCGCATGGCGGCTGACTGTGGCGTCGAGCTGCGTCCCTTCGGCGTGGCCTGCGTGTCCCTTTGGCCCGGGTTGGTTCGCACCGAACTGGTCGTGCAGCAAGCGGAGGATGTCAAGAAACTATTCAAGGACCTGCCGGAGCGGCTGGCCAACATGGCGGAGAGTCCCGAAGTGAGCGGGAAATGCGTGGTGGCCTTGGCCTCGGATCCCCAAGTCATGAGGCACAGCGGCAAGGTGCTCCTCAGCCCAGATCTTGCTCGTCTCTACCGGTTTAAGGACGTGGATGGACGTGACGTCTATAATTATGTTTCGGTTCGGAAAATCTTTACCGAATTGATGCCCAAACTGTCTTTCCTTTTCTGGTTCATTCCCTCCTTTATCACTATCCCTAAGTGGGCCCTTACTCTTTATTCCAGCAAGTTTGCGATCTACCCTCCCATTCAGCCGGCGGATTTTAAACCACTTAAAAAAGACTGATCCGTGTGGTGCACGCCTTAGGAGCATGTTTGGAAACAAGGGCAATCTTTGTGAAAAAATAATAATGATTGTTTTGATCGGGTCGTTCTATGATTAGTTCTCAGATTTCATCTCTTAAAAATCAAGAAAAGCGAATTATTTGCAGGAAAGTTCTAAAAGTTCATTTGAAGAATTGCTCTGAAAGGAAAGCTTTAGGAGACAATTTCTTACTCTCTAAGATCTGTTTCAGTGTTTTTGAGACAGCATTAGCTGCTAAGTTACTTAATATTTCTGTACTATCTAAAACAGGGTTTGGGGTTTATGAAAGAATCATTCACATACTTGAAAGTGATGGAGCTACTTACAACTAAGAATACTGTACTTAAAAGATGTCAAGCCACCTAGGAGAAATGCTTGTTTTGTTTTTATCTTTGTTGAGCACATTTAAATACTCTGCCAGAGCCTGTTTGTATCCCAGTCTTCAATATTTTGTTTCCATAAAAACAATTGTCAATTTGAAATACATGTGATATTACGAAGTTTACTTAAAACAAAAATCAAAACTTTTAAAGAAAAGGGTTCTTCTCCTGCCAAGTCCCAAGGTGAAGCTTGGGGGAGGAAATCCTTTTATATGTCTCTTTTTCAGCCTTCAAAAGATTCCAGAATTCTGTTCATTCCAAAGCCAAATATTAGCAGAGTTAGTCCTGATGAAAGAAAAGCCCATAGAGACAGCCCATATTAAGCCTTATCGTATACTCAAATCAGCAAATATTAGCAAATGTAATTAGAGCCATGTCAGAACAAAGTTTATTAAAAACCATTTTGAAACAGATAAGGGGGCATAAAACAAAGTCCTGAATAAGGAGTACAGTGGGTGGGGAAAAGAAACACCTCACTGTTCAGTTTATTGTCTGTATAATTCCCAAAGAAGCAAGTTCTTCTAGTGAAGGACAAGCTTGTTCTTTTCATAAATAAACCATTGTTTGTTCCTAAAAGGTCTAAGGAAGCTGATGCTTGCTCGCTTGCTAAGTTTTGTATTCTGTTGAGAACCCTGTGACCACAAATCAATAAAACTTTAAAAGCTCCACAGCTATTTGATTTTCTTGATTTACATTGGAATTAAAGGGAATGTTTTTCTTGCAGCCATTTAAAGATTTTTTCAATAGTTAAACTTCTTCATTGCTTAGCACTTTTCATTCAATGGAATAGTTAAAAGGCCAGAAAAAAGAGAAAGTTGATTTTTGAAATATGGTGATATTCCTAAATGCAAGGAGCAGCGGGGGGGGGGGGGATTGGCGTTATAAAATTGTGCTAGGGAAAACAATCAGGAGGAAACCCAATTTTTCCCCAATCCATACTACTTTGATACCCATGATATCTCTTCTCCTAATTATCCTGTCCCTACTTATTTTTGTTCCTGCTCTATTTTTGAAACTTTACCATAATTAGAAAACATTAATAAAATTATTTGGGGATTCAATGTGACCATGATATGTGGAACAGCAACTGTGGAGGCTTGGTTCTAAAATAATTGATAAAATCACCCAATTGCAAAAGGCAGCTTTACTTGGAATAGTTTATATATTGTGTTACATTTAATATTATTAAACATCTTCCCTATCTTAGATCCTTGGGAAGGGCTCGATAGCTACAATAAAACTGACTAATCTGAAAATGTGACAGATTGTGCAACAAACCATAATAATAAAGTTGCACGCCAAGCAGATAAGACCTGGCAAAGGCTAAGAGCAGGAAAACTGAAGAGACAGAAGAACTAATTCTGATTGCACAAGACCAAGCCTTAAGAACAAAGAAAGCAAGAATTAAGAAGACAGCAACAGTAAACAAATGTCACCTCTGCAAAGAAGCTGAAGAAACAGTGGACTACCCTGTTAGTTGCTGCAAGAAGATTGGACCAACTGATTACAAACAGCAGCATGACAAAGTAGCAACAACAATGCATTGAAAGATGTGCAAGAATACCACAGAAACCATAAAATAAAGTAAGTAATAGAAAATGAAGAAGTTAAAGTGCTGTGGGACTTGAATATTCAAACAGAAAAGCACCTGCCACATAACCCCCAGACTTAATAATTGTCAATCAGAAAGACAAGGTCTCAATAGCGGATGTGGCAGTACCTAGGGACAGCAGAATATAAGAGAACTGGAGAAAAATTGCAAAATACAAAAGAGATGCAAATAAAAATAGAACATCTGTGACAAAAGAAAACAAAGATAATACTACATGTCTTGTGTGCAATCTCAAATATCTGGAGCAGCACTTGAACACCATCAGCATTGACAAAATCACCAATTAATTGCAAAAGGCAGCTTTATTGATAGTAAAACTTGAGTTATTTATAAAAAAATAAAGGATTATAAATAAATGCCAACTTTTTTTTCTAACCTTGCCAGTCACACAATGTATTGGCTTCCGAGGTTTTAGCAATAGTAAGGAAGAAGTCTGCCTTAGAACAGGCGTGTCAAACTCGATTTTATTGAGGGCCACATCAGAGTTGTTTGACCTCGGGAGGGGGCAGTGTGTGTGGACAGGGGGGGCCATGGCCAGTTCACCATCACCCATGTCGAGTGCCTGTGGTCGAGCCCTCTTCCAGTGAAAACAGGCTCCCAAGTTCCATTTTCACCAGCAACGGCCGCCTCAACCCTCTTCTAGCAAACAGCTGTTTTAGCCAGGGCCAGCCACAGTCCTTGCGAGCTCTGTTTTAGCTGGCAGCAGCACTGTGGGCTAGTCCTTTGCTGTTTCCAAGGTGGCCCTGTGGGCCAGATCTAATCCCATGAGCCGGATCGGGCCCCTAGGCCTTGTGTTTGACACCCCTGCCTTAGAATTTCCCATTCTGATGACATATCCCTTCATCTATAGAGATAATTACTAGATGCATCCTATGACATCTAACTTCGTTTCCCCAAGAACCATAGGTTTGTAGATTAGTTAATTACTACCGTACTACTTAAAACCAGACAGGTTTTAAGCAAAACCCAACCTCATGTTGAAGCAAGGCCACCTAAAAGTTGCATGATCTAATATTTTAACAGTCAAGTACAGAATATAATGTAAGTCAAGGAATTCCAGTAAATTTAAGATATCATTTCCCCTCTTGTAGTCTATATAAGTGCTCTTGCAGCTAATTTTAAATTAAGAAAAGAGGTTGAAATTTTTCAGTCCCAGAATTTGCCCTGAGGCTATGTCCAGGAACATGAGTATCTTTCAGTATAATTCTTATTTGCAACTGCAACATAATTTTTGTTCCTGCATAAAAAAAATAAAATATACTTTATTTTCTCCTTGACAACTATCAGAACTCAGGTCACTGAAACAAAGCAAGGGAGAAAGAGGTAACTCCTCAAAAGTTCTGACACCATCAGCAAGTTTAATGAGTAGTAAGGATGCCGTGATAACTTGACAACCAAGATAAATATTGTAGATTAGCTTTCACAGGCTACAGACCATTTTGTCAGGTTCCATGCAGTATAATCTTCAGGATATATATGGTTGTGTGAGAGAGGCAACACACATGCATCAATGCAAGGATTCCAAGACTTGTTTTACAAGAAAGGAGCAATCACTAACTAGAGGCAGTTTTACTGCATTTGAATTGAAATGTTTCAGGAGACTTAACTTCTCTATTACAGATTACCCATACAATCAAAAAAAAATTTCTTCTATCTTCTTTCCATAACTATAATCTAATCAGTCTTCCTGTTCTGCCCCTGTCCTTTATTTCCTGACTATAGGAAGCCTGGTATATTTCCACGACCAAGCAATTTTCCATCCCCCCTGCACACTTCTAGAATCCTAGCTTTCATCAATGCTGCCCATTGTACTACTCACATAAGGACTGTAAGCCTTCACCTCTCAAAGCTGTAATGGGTATGCATGAATGACCTTGGAAGTCAGGAAGAAGAGCTGTGGATGGCGTATAAACTGGTGTGTAAAAGATGTCTCAGCCCATAGCAGGAGAGAGGGCATGGGAAGTATTTCAAAAAAAATCCTTCCTAGTTTTCCAGAGAGTGAAAGAAGAAGGGGAGAAGTAATTTCAGTTTTGGAAGGTTCTGTTAATGTAACATTACAACAGAGTCAACCCTCACATTTGCACTTCTCTGGATTACCTTGAAGGGCTAACAAAGCACAATTATGTGTTCTCTAAAATGTGAGAGTGAACTGTACATTAAAGAAGAGAGACATACAAAGTACTGGATTACAGATCATTAATGGCAGCTCAATAGCAGAATATCCTTTAAAAGTTTTTAATTTCTTCTCAAGACTCTCAGGTTTGGGATCCTGAAAGCTTATCACACCCATAAAAAATCTTGAGGAAACCCCCCTCCCCCACATATTATAATTAAATACGATATTCATGAATCATGATCTGGGGAAACAGAACATTATAATCATGATAATCAGTAAAAAGTAGGATGTAATTTCTGTTGCTACTAGGTTAATTTTCAAACACATCTTCCTTTAAGCAATAATAGTTTAAATGACTTTTGTTTCTCCTGCTCTTAAAAATTAAGAGTGGGAACTGATTTGGAAACCTGAGAATTATGAATAGTCTTGATTTGGGTTCATAGTACCGTTACAAAAAAAAAAGATTCCCACCCCCCTAGAATACTGAGAATAGAGATCATTTAATGTTTATGTAGACTGAATATGCATGTCAACTCCAAGTACATTTTAAAAAAATTCTGCTGACATAACACAGGATATAGTATTTGTAATTCAACATCAAGCAAGAATCAAATAAGAATTAAGTATTTCAATATTTATTTTGAAATGTTTAAAAATTGCTATGTACATCACTCAGCAACCTGTATGAACAGATCTCCTTTGCAGCCTTCAATTGCCTTCATTTTTCAGATATTCTTATTTCAAGGAATTTTCTGTGCTGTGAAGAATTGAGAAGCCTGCCTACGAGCCTTGTAAATGGGGACACATAAATAGATAAGTTAATACAGTACAGCAATTAAAAGAAACAACTGCATTTATTCTAATTCAATAAAAATTAATCCAGTGGTTATGTTCTGCAGTACTTACAACTTTTTCCTCTTCTGTCAGCACACCTTCCACAGACACTATTTGATACTGCTTATGCTTTAAGCCTCCTGGGAGTCTTCGAAATAATTTTAGATTGTTCCCATCAATGCCTTTTAAGAGTTTTTGCATTTCTTCTGAAGGGCAGCCAGGATCAAATATTAGTAGACACAAACTTTTGTTTTTTCTTTCTTCAATGCCAACAATAGTACGACTATGACCTAGTTTCAATGCCAAAAACCAAACATATTAATGCACAGTATACATGTAAACAAGAATTACAAACCTCTTAGTGAGCCATATTGAACTACTGCTTATCTAAACATCTTGTTTTTGGAACAAAGCCATTTGCATGAATATTTTCAGGAAATGATTTTCACCAAATTATGTTTAAAACTGCTAATAATACCAGACATGTAATAAATTACAGTAAAGTTACACAATAAGTGTTAAGAAAATGTGAAACCAAGAACTGGAAGGCAGTCTTGCTCAATAAATCTTAATCAATCCCTCAAAAAAAACTAAGCAGATTTTAAGTTGAGGAGTCTTTCAATTCTAGGAACATATGCTATTCAGAGCTTTGTAAGAAATCATAAGCACCTTGAAGCGTACTGAGAAACAAACTGTTTTACTATGCTAATGGTAGCACAGCACACGAAACACAATATGCACAAGGACAAGCTGTTCTAAGAACAAGGTTTATTTTTTAAAAATGGTGTTTCAGCATTGCACAATGATTTTCAAACAAGACTGGGCTTAGCCTTTGAATGCTATTTGACAGGGTGACAATCAAAGAGAAGGAAGATAAAACATAAATTCCATTTACTGCAGATATGATTAAATGTGAAATATTGCTTATGACTTAGGCAATGTTGTTAGATGAAATACTACAAGAATATTTGAGTTAACTTTTAAAACATTGAAATTTGAATATTCCAGATTCTTCATTTCCAACATGATGAAATATGATTCACGCAGCATGTAAGGGAATGGTCACGGAGAATAAATTACTAGAATGGAACTTTATTTTCAGAAATATTTTACAAAAAGTCAATCCGGGACAGAATTCTACTGACCTTGGTGCTGCAAATAAATTGGTGGCTTGGAAGTACTCATAACCTTTCCATTGCTATCTTTACCTGAAGAATAATAGTTTAATACCCATTCAAACAAACGAGGGTGTGTACCAGAAGAGCCAGTAGGCTGATGAAAGTCAATAATTTGACACCTATAAATTAAATTAAAATGTCTCCATAAATAGCCAGATAATAAATGCCACCTGGCATCTTTAAAATTCTATGCACGCAATGATTCTGCCTTTAGATTAAAAATCAGACTCTTGTGATTCTAACTATAGTGGCTGAGTCCATTTATTTCTGGCTTAGTTGCCATGCAGGATACATGAAACCATACAAATACCAGTTTTAACTTTTCTTTTTTAAAAGATAGGAACTCTGTGTAAAGACTGTGGACAATTCATTTTTCCATTTGAAAAGAGTTTTGATTCATCCTGTCTCCTGTTCCTAATGACTTAATAGGAAATGATTTGAAGGGGAAAAAACAGGATGGGAGAGATGTCAGAAAACACCCAGCCTGGCAGGGATAGGGATGAAGTGCAGAGTTAGCCTGAAGTCACTGTTGTTCACCAGACCCATGCATAAAACTAAACTATTGCATAAAACATGGGCATAAAAGGGATGTAATTAATACATTTTTCATTCTGCCTTTTTTTTTACTTTGTAAGAAACTCAAGGCAGTGAACATACTTAATATTCCTTCCTTCTCCTATTTTCTCTAAAACAATAACCCTGTGACATAGGCTGGGCTGAGAAAGAGTGAGTTGCACCTTAACCACTACACCAAACTGGCTCTCCTTTTATTTACTTTTATTTATTGTTTTATTTTATTTATTTGTTATTCACCTAGGTGGAGATGTAATGAAGGATTCACACTAGTTCATAAGGGACAATACTTTTTAATCCTTCTTGTCTGTATTTTCCTGAAAGGAGGTCAGAAATTTATTAGCAATTAGATATCTGTGAAGACTGTGTGTCAGCAGTGTGGAAATGCTGTAATCTTGGCTTCTAAGATCATTTTCACATTTGATAAGTTTGTATTTACAAAAGGATTTCTCTTATTTTAAGAACATATACCACCCCCCCTTGTGTAAAACTGCTAGGGCATAGATATAATAAACTGTTTTATCCTGATACTATTTTCTTAACATTGTTGTTTTCAACTATTATTTTTTTTATTCTTCAATTATTAATGAACTGAAAATAAAGAGTTCGTAATAAATAAAAATGTCAGAAAATTTACTTATCTTTAATACTGGATACTATTAAATATTTGGTTCAGAACTAAGAGCCAAATATTCCTGGGTAGTCAAACACTTACTTTAGCCTGAGAAAAGTTAAGAGCGAATAAATTTCACATGCTCCTATCCATGCTTTAGTTCCTTGTAATTTGCTGCTGAAATGAGAAGCTCCTTGGGGATCAAAGCCTTCTTTCCAGGCATCTTCAATTTGTGTTTGTATTTTTGGAATACAAGGAACTGATGAAATATCTAAACAAGAAAGAGGATAATATATAAAATCTTGCAAAAGGAAAATTAGAACTTATGATATTTTTGTTCTCAAGAGATTATGGGTCAGTCCTTAGTTTGGAAAATTCAGGTAGTCCTCGATTTGCAACCTCAATTGAGCTCAAAATTTCTGTTGCTAAGTGAGACAGTTATTTAAGTGAATCTTTCTCCATTTTACAACATTTCTTGCCACAGTTGTTAAGTGAATTATTGCAGTTATTAAATTAGTAACATGGTTATTAAGTGAATCTGGCTTCTCCTTTTACTTTGCTTGTCAGAAGGTCCCAAAACCCTGGGATACTGCAACCATCATAAAAATGAGCCAGTTGCCAAGCATCTGAATTTTGATCACATGACCATGGAGATGTTAGAATGCTCTTTTTCAGTCTCCAGTGTGAAATATGGTCATGTCAATTTTTTTCAGTGCTGTTGTAACTCTGAATGAACTGTTGTAAGTTGAGGACTACCTATAATTCCTTGACTGATAGACATATCTGTCAACAGGCATAAAATCAAAGAGAGGAAATTTTTCTTGGACTGAGACTGGAAAAGACCTATAGGAATAAAATCTTCCCCTTTCAAAAATAGCAAGTGAAGTGCCATCCCTAAGAATATGTAGGTTGATGGCAGTGTAATTATTGTTTACCATAACCTTAATCCAGGAATGGGAAGTTGAGAAAAGGGCTGCAAAAATGATGGTGCTAATCAGTCTTTTGTTTTCTTCTTTTTTCTTTGATTCAAAATGATCTCTGGTATGCAGTCTTTAATGAACTGAGGAAACTGATCTTCTTACTTGCATCTAGAAAGTTCTTCAAATCCAATTTGTTCCAACAGGATTTTATCACTGATATTTTGAACTAATGTCTAATTATTTTAATACTTTATGTACTGTGGAAGTAGTTGCAAACTATTTAGATTATTTTAAAATTCCGCCTTTATTTTTTTAAAAATAACTCAAAAGTGGTAAACATATATAATACTACGTCCTCCTATTTTCCCGACAACAATCCTGTGAGGTGGGTTGGGCTGAGAGTGACTAGCTCAAGGTCACCCAGTCAGCTTTCATGCCTAAGGCAGGACTAGAATTCAATCTCCTAGTTTCTAGCCTGGTGCCTTAACTATTAAACCAGTGGCCATTTACATTAGTAAGGACAATAGTATAAAATATTATAAAATTCTAATATTAAATAAAATCTTTAAAATGTTAAAGGAATGTGGAAAATCTAAAATTTGATGTTGTTCTAGAAGAGTTGCGTTTCTGCAGGCTCTGGATACAACTGAATAAAACAAGTTCCAGCTCAGAAGACTCCCTTTCTTTTTCAGTATTGTCTCTTGCTATTGCTCTATTACATTCAACAGATATCATAACAGTATGCTAAGGTCATGTCAGAATCGGGGATGTCTACATACTGACAGGTCTGATCTGGGAGATCAGAAGTGATTTCTTCCTGGAAACCCTTTATGAATATTGCGAAATTTCCCAAAAGTATCTCAAAATTAAAAGAATACTAAATCACAGAAGACCCTATGCAAATCAAGTTTGAAGTAGATTGCTTTAATTGCAATGAAAACTGTGTAACAAAGTACAAACCTTTCAAGCAGTCTTTGTAGGAGTTATTTCTCAAAAGAGAAGAAAACAGAATTTGAAAATTCCGATAACCACAACCCCAGCCTTTGTCTCCAAGAGAACAGTGAAAGTGATCCACTCCTGCAGAAAGCCACACATGCTTTATATCTTTGCATTCATTCTGATAATACTGGCACAATGTTTCCATAATTCCTAGTTTGAAAAAGATGCAAATGGAGAAATATTGCAAAAGCCTAATTTACAAATTATTCAATTTTGTTTTACAAGATATGGCTTGATTATGTGCCTATCCAAGCCAGAGTTGACTTTTAGCATCTACAAAGATTCTTCAGATTATCTGCTCTCAATCTGATCTTTCCAAAGATGTTGTAATCCAACTCCTACTGCAAACAATTATAAGCAACTTTATAATGCTAAACAACACAAGCCTTATAATGCTAAAATAACACAAGCCTTTTAGAAGAATACTTCAGATCCAGACTAGAGAGCCATGGTAGTGCAGTGGTTTAGAATGCAGTATTGCAGGCTAATTCAGCTCACTGCCAGCAGTTTGATCCTGACCAGCTCAAGGTTGACTCAGCCTTCCATCCTTCTGAGGTCGGTAAAATGAGGACCCAGATTGTTGGGGACAATGTACTGATTCTGTAAACCACTTAAGAGAATGCTGTAAAGCGGGGGTTACCAACCTTTTGGACCTCAGGGACCACCAAACTCATAATTTTAAATCCCACAGACCAGAGATCCTGGAAAAAAACCCAAAAAGTCTGCGGGAAAATTCCCCACCCCATTTTCCTACCAATCAATCATTTTTTATTTAGGATTGCAGGATACCGTCCCCAGCTCCATTCTCGGGGGGGGGGGGGAAGAGAGAGACTTTTGGCTTCATGCAAGGAATGCAGCGGAAGTCTTTCTTTCTCTCCCCCAAATTCCGCTAGAAGTGAGACTTTATAAGTCTTGTCGCGCCAGTGCAGCCTCTTGGAGCAGGATGCCTTGCAGGGTCCCAAAGCCTCATTTCTAGTGGAGTTTGGAGAGAGAAAGAAAGACTTCTGCTGCTTTCCTTGCATGTAGCCAAAAGAAAAAGAAAAAAGAAGCGGAAAGAAGCAGCCCAGTGGCCAGGCCAGGTGGGTGGGGCAAGTTCTCCCCTTTGTCCTTTCCCCCCTCTCCTCACTACCTCGTGTTGTTTGCAATGTAAGTGGCACAAGCCTTGTGTTCCCACGGGCCATGTGGGCATGCAGCCTTGTGTTCCCATGCAGCTTGGATTAATTGCTTTGGGGGTGACGTTTCGCAGTGGACCACCAAAATTTTCTCATGGACCACCAGTGGTCCCCAGCCCACTGGTTGGTGACCACTGCTGTAAAGCACCATGAAGTGGTATATAACTATGTGCTATTGCTATTGCTTATGGATGTGTCTTCAAACACATTGTTATAGTAAGATAATGGCTACATATGAAGTAGCTAATTAAGGAAACTAGGCAAGGGGAAAAAACTTTTTCTGCCTGAACCTATCATTGGATACCTTTATTTAGATTGAATATTGCCTATTTGAAACAATTATGTTATTAAATCAGAAAATTAGTTATGGAGCAAAATAAATTAGGCAGAAACAGATTCATAAAAAATAACTTTCCATACAAACAATGAGCCTACATATAACCTGACAGTAATGACACTGTTCCTACAACTAGAAAGAGAAATGAGTTCTTTTTTAGAGGAAGAAAGACTATAAATATGATGACTGTCAAATAAAAAACTAAGCCATGCATTTTCTTTTAACTGAAGGCAATAGTTACATCTCCAAGGAATTAATACTTTTGAAAACACTATCCTTAATATGGTTTTTAAGAATCACCACTTTTGGAACATTTTATATCCTTTTTTATATTCTTACTGTATTAATTTGAGAGCACAAGGAAACAAACAGTGCTTTCTTAAATGCGTCTATACTACACAGTGTCACAATATTCAATGATGAATGACTATTTCAATAACAATCCTTTTTAGACATCTGAATCCGGTTTTAAAGCAAGAACTTACTAACCTGAAGTCTTTGTCTTTCCATCATCAACACCTAAAGCCAGAGATTCCAACATATCAGCTTTTCTTCTGTGATAGTCAGATGGTTGCATCCTTCCAAAATCAACTTCTTTTGCCATGGCTTTTAGTGACTGTTGCTTGTACCCTCCAGAACCATCTAAACCATATTGTCTCTGTGGTGGACAAAATATTCTTTTAAGGGCGAGTATTGCTGATGTCTTGGATCATAGCTTCCCTATTGCCTTATTACTGATCGTGCTGACTGGAATTCAGGGGGCATCAGATTAGGAATATTTTTCTAGAAACAACTATTAGGCTACAGATAGCTATGAACACTTATAGCTGAATTACAGAACAGTAAATCAACAGTATAAGGCTTCAGTATATAATTATTTGTAGAGAGCTATGTTTTGAAACTCCATCAGCAATTCTATAGAAAGCTTTGGCAGAAAAAGTTTTGCTCTACCTCTTTATTAATAAATCAAAATTCCAACTTAATACTGCATCCAATTTTGATCATCACATTACAAAAAAGATGTTGCAACTTTGAAAAAAAAGTGCAAAGAAGAGCAACTAAGATGATTAAGGGCCTGGACACAAAAACATATGAAGAACAGTTGCAGGAATTGGATATGGCCAATCTATAGAGAAAAGAAGAATTAGCGGGTGTCATGATAGCAGTATTCCAGTTGAAGGGCTGCCACAAAGAAGAGGAGGTCAGCTTATTTTTCAAAACACCAGAAGGCAAGACATGATAAAATGGATGGAAACTACTCAAGGAGAGAAGCAACCTGGAATTAAGGAGAAATTTCCTATCAGTGAGGACAATTAACCAGTAGAACAGCCTTCAGAAGTTGCAGGTGCTTCATTACTGAAAGTTTATAAGAAAAGACTGGACAGAAATGGTATGAATGGTCTTCTACTTCTGCAGGGGATTGGACTAGAAGACCTCAAGGCCCCTTCCAGCTCTATTCTGATTGAAGAAGTGTTGTACAAGCAATTGAGAGAAAAAAATTCAGCCACCCACATAATGTATGTTAATGTAGTAATTTATATCCTGCTTTTTTTCCATCATGATTCGTGAGATTTCTGAATAGTCTCCCCTCCAGTAATTGACCCAACCCAGACCTGCTTTGATAAAGTGGCTCTTTTATGAAACAGTCCTGTACCAGGACTGTTGTTTCCAAATATCAATCGCTTTATCTATGAAAAATAAATAGCTACTCATGCTTATTGCACATATACTTTCTCGCTTTATTTATTCAGAAGGTCTGTCAAATGCGCCTTTAAAAGACTAGTATCATACCTGCAACTTTTGGAAATCATCCTTTTCTTGTCTTCCAGTCTCTGTTCTTCTTTGCCTATCCTCTTCATTTTGAAGATGCTGTGCCAATTCTAGATCATTCAAGTTTCTTCCTATTATGTTTAAAAATATGGACATTTAACGTATTTCAAAATATTGAATATCTAATTATCCTAAAATAAACTACACATATTATATAATTTCAGCAACATCTACAGTTTCAAATTTGCAGCATAATTCTATGTATGCTTACACAGAATTAACCTATACTCACTGAGGCACAGGATTAAATTCTTAACTGTGCCCATTACATTCATACAGATGTAATGAAAAGCTGAACTAATCAATGCAATTCAAATAATTTTATGTATTTATTTAAAACATTTATATAGCTGCTTATGTTGAACTCTAGTTACTACTCATCAGTGTAGTATCACAGAAATTATAGATTGAAACCTACCCGCCTATTTCATATATAAAAACTGGTTTACTTGATCAGTAAATTATACTAATTTGCACTTGGTTATTAACTTGCAGGATGTATTTCTTCCTAGTCATAACTGCTTTGTTTGTTTCTAAGGTGCATAATCCTCATGCCTGGGACTTAATCTTAAATCCTAAGTAATGCTCAATTATCATCCCCAGTGAGATCAACATTCCAACAAGCAGAGGAAGAATGCAGGAATGTATCTTTCCCTTATATCTCTGAAACTCTGTTCCAGATCTGAGAAAGCTTCAGTGCAACAGTGTGAGGAAGACATCAGTGGATGCCAGGAAGAAGGAAAATGAACCATGTGTACTTCTTTTTCTCTTCTTCCAGAAGAAAAGTTTGTAAGATTGTTTTGAACTGAATAATTCTACATAATTTCTGGAGGCAAAGCATAGCATGCAACTATCCTTTTTAGAAGCAAAGATTCATCACTCATTTCCTAGAAAGAACAATTTGTTTACATAAGGTTAAAAAAATATAATAGCCTGTTTAAGAAAAGTAGTATTTAGAATTTGAGAATAGTATGGAAAAGTTATGAAACTCTTATAGCACCGACGTAGTATCACTCAGCTGGATGAAGCAGGAAAATGAATATTTCAGATGGCAACTGTGGTTCTCAATTGTTATAATAGGGGGCAAGGAGTATTATATTTAGCCTTCAATACTAGAATTCTGCTAATCACGTATGTATTGTCCTATCAGATTTCATCTTATATATAAAATGATTTACAAACTTTTAAAAATGTATATTGCCTTAGTTCAATAGCCTTGACTGAAAAAAACAGTGACTCAATGACTCAAAAGCTTTGAGGCAGAGGCTTGCATCAATTATTTAAAATCTTTTTTCTATTGCCTATGACATTTTATTATTGAAACTATTTAAGTTGCAGTTATTTACCTACTCTGAATACAAATGAGTATCTTATATGCATGGTATTTCAGTGTTTATGAGATTCATTCTACAGTATTAGAAGAAACAGCCAAGTGACAATACTGAAGCATCTTTCCAATTACAATATATTGTTTTATAACTTTCATAGTTGGATGAAACTTCCAAAATCATGCCAGACGTGCTTAAATGATAACATGTCTTATTTTGGAATCCTTTATTTTACCTTGTAAAATGCTGCATTCATCCAGGTGCAGTTCGACATGATCTTGCAGAACTGGGTAATCGGTACAACTAAGATGGCATATAGGACATTCATATAGAGCCAGACTACTTTCTACATTGAAAAAAAATAAAGGATAAATAATGATTTCACTAGCCATTCCTACAAAAATCAAAGAAACCAAACTCCTCCAAACAAAATCCATAAATTCTTAACTTTGTATTAAGAGTCAGCTTTAGCGTCAGGGAGCTTTGAAGCCCATGCTGATCTGACAGATTTACCGTGGGGTAGTGGCACTTCAAATGAAAAAGCCACATTTATTTTCCACAATAGTGTTGCTCAAAGACACAGAGTAGTGGCAATTAAAATGGTGGTTGTAAACAAATCAATAATTAAGCACCAGAAACATCTGACAATCAAAGTTTGGCATTTTGAATTGCAGTTGACTTAATCTATACAGAGCAGTATTCTTGATTTTTGCTGTATAAAGAACCAAGGCAGTTGTATCAGTTAAAGAGACTAGGCATGGGGAAACCCTAGTTTATCCTCAGCCACAAAAACTCGCTAGTGATTTGGGGCCACACCAATCTACCTCACAAAGTGGTTTGCTGTAGGAAAAGAAGCAGGATGAGGAGAGTTTCATGTGCATTGCAACAAGCTCCTTAAGAAATGACAGGAAATATAGTCTCATCAGTTATGCAAAGTGTGCCCACTGGTCAATGGGAGTCATGGGTATCCTGTGGGAAAAGATACAAGGTCAGGACTCAATAGTAAGCAGGTGCTTTGCAGACTTGCACATCCTTACGGCCACTTTGAGGACATAGATTTGGGGAAGAAAACAGGGAAGCTTCCCTGAACCCTCCTCTACTACCGTCTTATATTTAATGCACTTTTTGCTTAAAGTGCAGCCAAGATCCGGTTGCAATTAGGAGGTGGCAAAAGGAGGATACGCCAAACTCCAAGCGCTCGGTCAAAAAACGAAATAAACCGAGACTCCCCAGGGAAACATTTTAATCCAATCCCTTTGCATCTCTGCAACAACCGGGCAGGCGTTTCGGCCCCCTCGTAGAGCGCTGGCGGGTGGGAGACCGCAAACGGAACTCAGCGGTGGTCTCCAGACTCGCAGCGTCCGAGGGCGGCGGAGGCCAGGGCGGGTGTCCCCCTCTGACTCACCAGGAAGGGGAGACGGAGCACCGGCAGGCGGGCTTCCCGGCCGACCTCTCCTGGCCCCGTCCATTATCCCGGCTGCCGGAGAAACAGCGCTGACTGGCTCTTCTTTCTCTGAATGCAAATAAGCCACGCCCCTTTTAAGACCAAGCTAAACAATCGCAAAGCCGCGAGCGCCGCTGTGCCGAAGTAAGCGGAGGAGGGCGGAGACGCCGCGCGCAGGCGTTCCTTACGCGATATGTGCTGCAGCGAGTGTTTAGTCCCCTTAATAATGCAACGTCAAAACGCTTGGATTAGGCGTCGAAACTGGTTTTTCAAAAACTTGTTTTGCGCGTAGTTTTATACGTAGCTTCTTGGTCTGTGCGCCCGCTGGTCTGAGATGGGAGCTGTCACTATCTGGTTTCTATGGTTTCCCGTTCACGAGCTTGCTGTACATCTCTAATCTACAACAAAGTCTATGGAGATTCTCAGTCGTCCAGCTCATGGTTGATCCAAAGGTGCTTTTTTTCAAGAGGCAACGAGACTTTCTGGTTTTTCTTTGAAGATGTTTCGCTTTTCATCGAGGAAGCTTCTTCAGCTCTGACTGAATTATGGGGAGGTGAAGAAGCTTCTTGGATGAGAAGTGAAACGTCTTCAAAGAAAATCAAGAAAGTCCAGTTGCCTCTTGAAAAAACACCTTTGATATCTACAACAAAGCTTTTCTACTCAGCGCGCAAAATAAATGTTGGAATTAGGCACTTTCAAGGATATAAGGTTAACAGTGGTTGTCATGACGATATATTAAAAGCAATCACTATGTTGGCCTAAGCAAAAATCAATCGTGGAATTTTAAAGGGTGATTGATTACCAGAAATATATGTTAGGCATTTTTTTGCATTTTTTTTTAACTCCGCAACGACCAGGAACCCAAGAGGAGGGACTCAGCTACGCTGGCAATGAGTGCACTTTTGGGAGACCTAGAAGAACAATTAGGCACTGGAGAATGTTACGGATAAAATCTTATCTATGTGGTTGCTAGGACTCGAAAGCTACTCGAATGTATATTATCATCCAACAGATTGTTAGTTTTTAGCGGACGGGAAAAAGCGGTCGGAAGAGGCAAAAAAGAGTTGTGTGAATGAATCAGATGGGCGGCTGCCAAATAAAAGCCTAGCGTGCAAAACCATGTTTCAATTCTTTGCCGGGATTAAAAGTTAAAGCCGGCTGACTGAAACAGACGATTGTATTAGGACGATGCGTTCTGTATTTACGTTCTCGTGGTGGTGGTGGTGGTGGATAGGTTAAAATATTAGCACATAAACTTTCAAGTCAACGTCCCAAAAGGTGCTTTTTCAAGAGGCTACCGAACTTTCTGATTTTTCTTTGAAGACGTTTCGCTTCTCATCCAAGAAGCTTCTTCAGCTCAAGCTTCAAAAACCAGAAAGTCCAATTGCCTCTTATAAAAAGCAACTTTGGGACAACCATGACCTGGATGACAGAGGATCTCCATAGAGTTTATTGAGCGTCCTTTTAAGCCCTGTCTCTCTAATTAAGAACTCGCTCGAAACCCCTGTTTATCTCTATGGATCTACTCTCTCTCCCCTTTGCCTATCTCTACGGAGCTTTTGGCGAAAGCGGCGCAATTCGACCAATTCGCGGCTCCTTCGCGCAGGGCACGCTGGGAAAAGAGGCGGCGCCAAGTTTGGCGTTCCGTGCCCTTTGGGCCGCCATCTTCAATTACGATCCCGATTTCTCTGCGGTGGAGGGTGAGCGGCGCCTGGGGTCGCTCTCCGATGGGTACGTGGGCGTTTGTGCATGTGAGGTGAAGGATGGACTGACGCGGGATTAAACTGTGGCCTTGCTTCAGTAGAGACTAAATTGGGGAAGCTGGCCATTAGAAACCGAATGAAGCCCATTTGGGAGAGGCAAAAGGATGGTGTGCGGGTCTCTTTCGCCTTTGCCCGGCGCTCGAGAAGCTTCTCCTGAAATAACAAAGCTTACCCGGTGCAGTTGGGGAGAGGACAGGGGTTCCCCTCCTTAATTGCATATTTACCCTCTTCCGGGCCGGCGGCACGCTCACCCTCTCTTCAATCTGGCGCCTTTGTAAAATTGGCGAGTGACAGTTGGAATCGAACATGTTTATTTAAGAGGTAGCCCGGATTAGACATTTGCAGGATCCATGTCCCATTGAACCCGGGTAGGAGACAGCTGTCTGTGCGTTGTTTTCTTGCTCTCCGTGCTCTTTTTTTTTGTTCATGGCAACATAGATGAGAGAGTGGATTTTTTTTTTAAAAAAAAAGCAACAACTGGAAGCAATAGTTAACTCCAGAGCGATTCCTCACACATGTGATCCTCACACATGTGATCGGGGATTACAGTGTTAGGGTCAGGAATGCAAAAAATGGTGAGCGTCTGCCCTGCCTCCCTCCTGTAAACAGCTGATGCTTCGCCAGATAACTGTTGAACTGCAACTCCCAGCCTCCCTAGAAAGTATAGCCAAAGCCAGGGGGATGCTGGGAGTAGTAGTTCAGCAGTAATCTCTTTCCCCTCCCAAGCAAAAAAAAAAAGTACAGGTAGTCCTTGACTTACAACAGTTTGTTTAGTGACCAACGTTATGGTGGCAATGAAAATTGTGACTTATGACCATTATCCCATCCTTCCGAGATGGGTAAAATGAGGACCTAGATTGTTGGGGACAATATGCTGACACTGTAAACTGCTTAGAGAGGGCTGTAAAAGCACTGTGAAAGCGGTATATAAGTCTAAGTGCTATTGCTATTGCTGTAACCTGTGCAGCATCTCCATGGTCATGTGGATCAAAAGTCAGATGCAATTTATGACCTTTGCTGTGCCCCGGGGTCACGTGATCACCTTTTGCAACCACCTGCTAAGCAAAGTCAAGATTCGCTCAACAAACGAATTACTAACTTGTCAATTGCAGTGATTCAGTTAACAACTGTGACAAGAAAAGTTGTAAAATGGGGCAAAACTCACTTAACAAATGTCACTTAACAAAACTCACTTAACAACAGAAATGTGGGGCTCAGTTGTGATCCTAAGTTGAGGACTACCTGTGTGCACTATTACCCTTCTTTGGAATGCCCCAAACTCAGCTTCTATATATAGCATTCATAGACACAGGGAAGAGTTTTTAATGCTCCTCCAGCCCACCTTTCCTGCCTCTGCTTAACACTTTCAGGGAGCAGTACCCAGTTCTGTCTAGTTTAGAGAAGGGAAAACCAGTTAAGGAGAGAAGAGTTTGTATGTTTCATTGTGATAGCAAAAGTTGTTCAAATGCTTTAGTCAGAATTTCCAGAGAAACACCTGACAAAGCTTCTAAATTTGGAAACAGTAAGGCTTGAAGACTGCTTCAGACTTAGAAGGGAGCATGACTGCTAAAATTGAGGGTTGCATCCTTCTTGACTTTGATATTTCATTTGTTGAAACTGGGTATTCATATATAGCTGTACAAAATTTTACTCCAGCTTCTATTGCTGTGCCTCCTAACTCAGGATTAATTTACAGTGTTGTATTACAGATATTTCAAGTTTTTGTAAAGCTTCTGGTTGGTGTAACATTGACCACTACCTATGCTTGATGACGAGGCTCTGAAGTTTTCAATTGATTCAGTTGTATCTGACACTATGCAAACATTTTCTCTTTATGATGAGGTCAGCTGTCCATATACAGAACACTAAAAAAGGCTATGTGTCTCTTTGGGGTTTTCCTGTGCAAATAATATAAAAATCCTTAATTCATTTGTATAGTTTTGCTGAATGTGCCCCTCTATTTGAAGCATAATTGCTTCTCAAGAGACCAGAATTGTAGAATCTGATACTTAGGCACGTGCACTTTGTTTTCATAATGCTTCTGAAGTGCTGATTGTTCGCCCATTGAAAGTTCTGTGCATCAGTTAATTTGATTTTGTACTTTGTGCTGCTATAAACAAGTCTGTTTTGGTGTATTTCTATTAGTTTCCATCACGCTGCTTGGACTGTTGTTTCTGTGTTTTAAACATCAGTACTTTTTGGACCTTGCAATGGCAACATTGATGTTCTAATAATAATAGTTTTTTTTCAATTATCCCATGTATTTTAAGAATTTTACATACAAATTAGGTTAATTCAGTATGTGAACAAGGTGAACATGTTATGCAGTTCCAGTTTTAATTCATTTAGAAGACCCACTTAATTTAATGGCACTCATTACTGTATTGGTATGTTTGTGCAGAACTGAACAAAACAAGTTCAATAATTTGGATATGCCTATACATTTTTGTGTTACATCTTTGGCATACAATTTTATATCCATTTACTTGGGAGAAGACTCATTAAAAGCTTCTTTCTTAGGAGCATATATATAATACTGATATTATATAATATCAGTAGTATTTGAATAGCTATTTTTATCAATTCCACATAATATTTATATATATACTAACATATTTTATTTAGAATATGAAAGGATACCAATTTTTCTGTGGCATTGTTAGTCATGAGGACAAACACAAATGAAAAGTGCCATTCAAATAATAACATCAGTGACAATTGACGAAACGCTGTGTATTAGAGAAATTTAAGGAGTATTAATTAAAACCTTGTTTGAAATATCTACTTTAGTCTGTATAAGTAAGGCAAGTTATATTTTCTGCCTGACATAAAATCAATATAACAATAGTACTTAGACTTATATACCACTTCATAGTGCTTTACAGCCCTCTCTAAGTGGTTTACAGAGTCAGCATATTGCCTCCAATAATCTGGGTCCTTATTTTACTGACCTCAGAAGGATGGAAGGCTGAGTCAACTTTGAGCTGGTGAGACTCAAACTGCAGTGAGACTTCAAGCAGGCAGGCAGGCAGCAGAAGTAGTTTGCAGTACTGCATTCTAACCACTGCGCCACCACAGCTCTTCATATGGGCAAATTATGAGAAATAAGATAGTTTGAACTCTATGAAGGAGTTGGAGTCTTCAAATACTGTCATTTCATTAAAAAACATGTTCATATTTTGACATCCCTCTGTTCCATTTTATTTTTCATCTTTGCCATTTTTCAACATTCAAAACATCAAATGTTTCTTTTCTTCATTATCAACAAAAAATATTTTTTCTCTCCAGAAAATGTC